TCATGACTTCAAAGAAGCATGCTCTCAGGCTCCAGTATGTTGTGAACTTGTTTAATATACAGAGAGCCCTAGCTTCTACACGAGGCCCGGACTTCAGCCATCTTACAGTCAACAGCACACCCACTCAGTCAGTCACATGACTAGTTCAGTTTTGCCCAACCCTGGTCCCTGAGGAACACCACCTTGCATGTTTTAGTTGTTCCTCTGCTCCATCACACCAGATTTGAATGAAAAGGTGATTAACAGGTTTCTGCTGAACTTAAAAGAAGAAAATAAACCACTGAAATCAGATGTGTTGGAGCAGAGAAACAAAACATGTATGATGGTGTTCCTCAAGGACCAGGAGTGGGAACCACTGGACTAGTCAATGGCATGGTGAAATACTGTACTTGCATTTAAAAAACAACTTTGCCACCTAATGGTGTAATTAACAACAAAAGCGTCCTGTATCACAGCATATGAACACATTATTAACAGATGATCCTCCACCTTATTTCTTAAGGCTGGCCTCTCATACCATCACAGTACCAGTGTCCAACATCTTCAATCTCTCCATAAGACAAAACTCCATTCCAGACGCTTGGAAAACAGCCTTTGTTCTTCCTTTGCTGAAGGGAGGAGACCCCACCTCACTGAACAATTATCGACAAATCTCTAAACTCTATTTTAGCCAAGATTCTAGAAAAACTGATAAACTCTAAAATCAAAAAGTGTTTGGACTTGTCTAACATCTTACCTCTCCATCAATCTGGTTTCAGGAAACAACGCAGCGCAACAACTGCCTCACTGAAGGTTTTTAATGATGAAGACTCTCTCACTGGTATATTTTCATCTTTAAATCACTTCTTGGTCTGCTGCCTTCATACATCTCCTCCTACATGTCTCTGTGTGAGTGCAGTTACAGCGTGCGCTCTCAGGACATTATTACCTGCAGTGTTCCCTCAGTGAGGACTGAACTTGGCAAAAGGGCCTTCTCCTGCTCCGCTCCTGTTTCCTGGAATATCTTACAAAAAGATCTGAAGCGCTCGACCTTGACCTCTCTAAGTGGCTTTATCTGTTAAGTTCCTGGGAAAAACCAATGCAGACATGTACCTGTTTTTAGTTTTCTAAACCGCCCTACATTCTAACTGTTTTTTGTTACATTTATTTGCACTTGTTTAAAAAAAAATCATAATTTGTATGCATCCTTTATGATTGTCTATTATTGTCGTTGTTGTCCACTGTTGTCATCATTCTTTGTTGAAATCAGGTCTCTCTTGTAAATGAGTCCCTGAGGCTCAATGGGATTTACCTGTCTAAATAAAGATTGAATGAATCTTGTCAACATTATGCCAAAATACCATATGAAATGTTTGAAATAAGACTTTAGAGTTTAGACGTTAGATTTAATCATTTTCTCAACACAGCCATATGCTGTATATTATATTTTTAATTTATTTTATTTTTTTTACATTTGGGCAAAAAACATTCAGTTGTACATTTATCTAATCCCAATGCTCACAGCATTTGCAACAATACAACAATTCTATTTCAGACTCTACAGGCCTCAGTTAGCAGGTTAAAGGTTAAATAAAGTGAAGCATTGTATTGTTTAAAATAATTACCTGGAGACTTCTGGAGTGATTTATTTGGGACAGATGAGACCAAAGTAGAAATATTTACCCATAATGTTTGATAAAACTCAACCCTGTTTTAGTCGCAGCCAGTCCATAATAAAGGGTAGTTCCATACCCCATACTTCACCAGCTGCACGCGACCATTTCACTGCGAGCTGAAAGAGGTAAAAAGTTCAGTTAAGCTTCAAATGGGACTATGCCACCAGGAAGTGATCCATCACCCAAATGGACGTTCATTCAGCCGCTGCACTCAGTGGACGCGTGTGGTCGACGACCCAAGCAGGTGAGATCCCAAAGCAGACGTGTCAGGGCAAAGTCTGTGAATAAATCAGAATGCAGGCAGAAGCAGGGTTTAACCTCCTGAGACCAGGCTCTGGTTTGCGATGCACTTTTCATATCTCCTAGATATTTGTGATTAGATGGACCTGATTTGTGTGTAAATAAAGCTTCCTCTTCCAACAGGAAGTTGTATTTTTTACATGGTTATGACATAATTTGGAGAAAAAAAAAGTCCTCAGATGGGGACAATGGGCTTGTTTTACAGCATAACAACATTAACATGGCTTAACAAAGTATAAAACACTATTGAACAGAGTGAAGTATAAGGTACAGCAAAGCCAAAATGTAATGTCCTCAGATGTGGACGCGGGGTCTCAGGAGGTTAAATGCTCTTTTATGGTCATGAAAGGACAAACACCCCCTCAGCTCCGATCTTCTGCATCTTTTATTCAGCTGTGTGTACCCGACAACAGGTGTACCCCACAGCAGAAGTGTCTTCTCATCCATACATTTCTCCCATCATTTTTATTGGGTGCATTTTGGAACCATTTTGTTATTTGGGGCCGAGATGGTATAGAGGCAAGACAGCCGACTCAAGACCCGTAAGTCCCAGGTTCAATCCTAGCCATTCCCACATGTCATGGTGTCTCTGAGCAAGACACCTAATCCCCAATTTCTCCCGGGCACTTACATAGCTGCCCACTGCTCCACCCAGGTGCAATGGGTTAAATGCAGAAACTAATTTCACCATTGTATAGGAACATACAATGATAACAACACACAGCACTTATTATTATAATCCTTGCCTCTATTTTCTCAGTCTGTGGCATCGGATGTCAGGCAATTACATCCACAGCCGCTACAGCACACAGATTTTTTTGGGAAAGTTTCCAGGTTGCTAGCCATCCTAAAGTTTTTAAAGATTGACTGTCAGGGAGGCATCAGCAGAAAGTTTTTTTTTTCAGAATAGTGAGAGATTGTTTCTCACCAGATGCCAGTGTTTTCAGTATTACTCATTTAGATATGACAAATAAAGGTTTCCTGGCAGTGTAGGAGAGTGTGGTGTGGATGTACAGTATGCATGAGTTTTAAAGCACATATATATCAAGGTTGGTGAAGGGACTGAATGCAGGCAGACATGATGAGCTCAAGTAAAACTTGTTTTTTTTTAATAATTGAAAACAAAGGGCTGACATGATTACAAAAAAAACAAGAGGGAGGACTGAAACATCTGTCAGGTTGTCAAGACAATGAACCGCTGTTAGAGAGGTTACCAGAAATAGTTTAAGTAGAACAGGGGATGGTGGCAGCACCTGGGTGATTACTTGTTGGAAACAGATGAAAGTGGTAAGATGATTGAAGGACCGGGGAGGATGGCTGAGGGTGAAAATGTGAAAAGAAACATGAAACACAGGCTAAATCAAAACACAAGGGACATAAAAATAACATAAACCACAAGGATAAATAAGTCTAAAACGTAAACTGGAGGGACTAAAACAGACAAACACAGACTAAATATGTCATATTTGTGTATTTGTGCATTGAACTGTGTGACATTGTAGGCTATCGTTAACGCACAATTCACAGATGTTAGCTGACATCCTAGCCAGCATCACATACTGACAAGCTTTTCATTACAAATAATGGTATGCTGGAAAACGTAACGGCTTATCATAACGTTTCTAAAGTAGCATTTTTGTGTTTTTTGCCAAATCAATTCTAACTTACACAGAATATTATATCATTGGCAGATAACTAAACTTACCGTATTTTTCGGCCTATAAGTCACTTTTTTTTTTTTTTGCATAATTTACATGCCTGCGACTTATAGGCCGAAGCGATGTATTTATTGATTTTTGCCCCATATTTATAAACCAATTTTAGGCTGAGATATGACCGTTTTCATTCATTCTGACCAAAAAAATAAATAAATAACATTACCATTTTCAGCCACTAGATGGAAGCAGAGTAATAGTATCAGTATGGCATACCGTTGTATCATGTAATTGGTAAACATGGCTATAATGACAAATTCAAAAAAGTTCAAGACAAAAACAACTGGACTTTATTTATTATCCTTTATACTTTATAGTTTTTGTCTTGAACTGTTTTAAATTTACCATGTCCTGGATGACTGAGAATCTTCACCATCTATTAATGACACAATCGGCTTGCCATAGACCCCAACTTCATTCTGCTCGCTGCTTGGAGCAAGTCAAACCAGCTGCACCGCCCCAGCAAAATACAGCTGATGTGATGGTTAATGTCCTTTTATTAAGCAAACGTTAGACTGAGACAAACTTTTACTATAATTTCGAGCAAACAAATAATTGTTTTTAAGTGTTAATCTTGGTAAATTCTTGTTAAAGTCCTCCCGTGCACACTCCCGCAGCTGCCATTTGGCAGCCCATCAATTTTTAGCACACCGGCCCACATTTCCGGGTTGTCAGCTGGGACGCGTAACAAACATGACGCATCAGCGGAGACGCATAATAGATGTGACGTATGACATATGCAACGTAGATGCAACATATTTATGGATTTTTCCACTTTATTAGACATATTTGGGCTGATGCGACTTATAGCGGAAAATACAGTACCTCAAAGCTAACAGTGTCCAACATTAGAAGTTACTAGTTATAGCATGTACCAAACAGTTCCCTTTGTCCATAGGAAATATTTTATAATCGTCTATCTTGATTGTGATTGGCCAAATAACTCGTATTCCACCAAAGATGTTCTATTGTGAAGACAGAAACCGTGTTGTTTCTTAAAGTCCAGTCAATGGGAAATTATTTTACCACGCCTCTGATTATATCCCCAGAAATAAACCCCTAAAACTTTTCGGATCTAAATGAATCACGTAAATGACAAATAACGGATTTCACCAAAAAGCGACAAGTTTGCAAGTACCGGAATGTTTATAATGTGTTAACCCTCTGTGAGTTGGCTTTTCTCCAAAACTTTGTAATATAGTTGATGAAGTCTACACCTGATTGTCTGTGATTCTGTTTTTTTTTTTCCACGACCGTAGAACAATGGAAACATGAGAACAGAAACAGATAATTTCAATTTTATTTTCAAAATTTGTAATGATCTTAAGACTTTCCAGTGAGTTTAGGTTTATTTTCGTTAAAAACTGTACAGGAAAAGTGTTTCTTCTCAAAGTCAAGTAGAAAACGAGTAACAGAAACATGATAACAGGAAACTGAAGAAAGTGAGATGGGGCAAAATGGAGTTCAGTGACTTTAGTTTGAAGCTTAGCTACTTTGATTCACATTCATTGTTAATGTCAAAGATGAGAGTCACAAAGGACATTATCTCATTTTAAACTTCAACCCCGATCACCATCATCATCATCAGGATGGAAATTTCTTGGCTTCACATGAAACCTCTGTCTTTACTCATAGTGTTTCACGTCAGGTCTTTAACCAGTCTGAAAAAAACAGAAAACAAGAATGCACGTCTTTTCAGAGCAAGATGGCGAGAAAATAACAGAACTATGGAATTTGTACATTAGGAGCAGAGTAACATAGAGAGTAACGTAGAGAGTAACTATTATTCATCATCTTCATCATCGTCGTCATCATAGTCATCATCGTCGTCATCATCATCATCATCATATTCATCATCATCTTCTTCCTCATCATCATCGTCTGGGTCAATTTTCCCAGACAGCACATCTTCGATCCACTGTTCGAGCTCGTCAGATGAAGGCATGTCATCCTGGTCATCCATTTCCATCCATACGCTGTCAGCCTGACGGTAACAAACACCTACATGTTAATAAAATCATTACAAATACATCTACACATGTTATTAAGGATGGTGTAATGGCACATTTATTTGTACCATGATGGTTTGGTACAGACATTTTGGATGGGTACAGTGAACTGACAATGAATACATCAGCCACAGGTGATCACAGCTTTCGGAGTTTGTGCACATTTTATTTAGCTGCATTTTGCCAACAGCCACCACAAAGAGGAAGCAGAAGAAGGAAGACTGGTTTCTGTTGCTGGTACAAGCACTAGTGGAGGAGTTGTGTGTATCTTCATGCAGCAAAAATATTTTCTGTAATAATGATCAAAATATTTCATATTCTCCAATTTAACTGTTTTCTTGTCCAAACACAAATGTGCATTTGATGTCAATACAAGAATATTCCAGTTTTCTTTGCCATACACCAAGTTGAAACGTGTTTCTCTTTTAAAGTATAGGATGGAAATGTTTGCTTACATCGTGGACATCAACTACACCAATCTGAGGAGACGAGAGGCCAATACCAAATGTTTTCTCCCAGTATGGAACCAACTGAAAGCGAGACACAAGAAGAAGGAACAGCCCATTAAGTCCAAGATGTCATACATATTATGTATGAGGGATGAATGAAGAAGCCTAAAACAAAAAGAAACATTAAAGGGATCTAAATGGTAGGAAGTATTCTCACCAGGGGGAAGTTATCTGGGTCGATCCAGATAATGCTAAGGTTAGGGTTATCAGTGTTGTCTTGTGCTACTTCCTTCAGGATTTCCAAGAATTCAAAACCATCTAGAGAAAAGTTACAATTATGTGTGTTCAAGTGTATCATACTTTTTTAGTTTATGCTATTAAAAATGTGTAGAGATATTCAGATAGATACTTATTAAAGAAAATATATATATATATAGTAGTCCCTCGCTACGTCGCGATTTGTTTATCGCGGACTCACTCTATCGCAGTTTTTCAAAATAAGATTGGACATGACACACAATTGGCTGATTGATGGATGAGCCGCACGATCGGCATGAAATTTTTATTTAAAATAAATTATTTTAAATTATTTAGCACCTGCTGTACCTTTGTGCAGCCCACACTGCAGGACAAGCTTCCTGCTGCAGCTGATCAGCTGTTCTCTGTGTAGAGCGGAGAAGTGGGCGTGGCCAAGAGCGCTTGCAGGTGGCCGAGGAAGCAGGGAGCTGAAATCATGACATGCTGTGCTCTTTTAAAGCGTTTACAGTTTATAAACATTGTTTATAATATTGCACGAGTGTGATATATATATATATATATACACTAAAATAAACTACTACTTACTACTTGTACTACTATTCCTACTTTGCAGTTTTTCCATTATCGCGGGGCTTCAGGGTACGGATCTCTCGTTTATCGGGGGGGGGGGGGGGGGGGGTTGGTTCCCAGGCCCCCGCAATGTGAAAAACTGTGAAGTAGGAATAGCAATACAAGTAGTAGTAGTAGTAAATAGTAGTTTATTTTAGTATTTATATATATTAAGGCTTTTAAACCCTTCCCACACTTGTAATATTCCAAACAATGTTTCTAAACTCTAAATGCTCTAAAAGAGCACAGAATATCATGATTTCCGCTCTCTCGGCCACCTGCTGCTCTTGGCCACGCCCACTTCTCTGCTGCAATCACTGGCAGGTGGCAGAAAGCCGAAAGCATGACATGCTGTAGGAGGGAGCTTCTCCCTGCACCTGTGGGCTGCACACAGGTGCAGCAGGTGCTAAATCATTTAAAATAATTTATTTAAAAAAAAAACAATCCATGCCGCTCATGAGGCTCATCCATCGATGAGCCAAACAGATGTCATGTCCAATCTTTGAAAAAAAATGCGAACGAGCAAGTCCACGAAAATCGACCCGTGAAGTAACGAGGTACTACTGTATATCTTCTCACCTGGGTCATCCTCCTCAGCAAAGGCAACAATGTGCTCTCCATCAATGTCATCTTCCTGTATTCATAAGACAGGATTTTTTAAATAATGCAACAATGGATAAACACTCCACCTAAAACAAAACAATGTTAACACTTTTAAATGACACAAAATGTATTTTTTAGATATGGTTGCCTTACCCAGATTTCATACATGCTGTGAGGCTCAAGTTTTCTCAAAGTTGGTCTGAAACATTAAAATGTCAACAGAATCTATTAGACTTGTCCACAAAACCATTTGTAAAAGACTGTTTTCCGTATCCCCTCCGTACTTCAGATCAGGCTTGTTTTTCTATCATAATCTGGTAAAATGACCCAGCATGAGGCATGCTCTTTTCAGCACCCATCAGAGTCCCACCTGTCATGCTGTTCGATGTATTCAACAATCTCAGACTCGATGTAAGGTTTTCCTGGAATGGTGACTGGTTCGTTCATGAAAGGTTCATAGAAATCAACTTCATTTATCTTCAGTTTTAGCTTCTTGGCAATCTTAGAAAAGATCAGAAATTGTGAAAGTTAGACAATATACATAAATTATAACACATCCAACGATGTAAGACATTTTAAAGTCTTTAGTGTGACATGTTCATGAAATTAAATTACGGTAATAGTAGTAGTAACTATCATGCACACACATGCTCAAAGAAAAAATCTATACCTTTGGATCAAATGTGGCGTAGAATTTGACAAAAGGGTGGAACTCTTCAGCTGCATCATCATACTCTATAAAATCTGGAAAAAAAAAGGCAAAGAAAATGCAACCTTTAGGTTTATCAAAGCAGTTTAGTTTGACACCACATATGACCCTGCAATGACGAAATGTAGATCGTCTTCTCAAGGTCTTGACCGAGGTATTTAGGTGCATAATAAGAACGTGTATAAGTACACAGCGGTTTTTAACTCCTTCAATTCCTGGGTCAAAATGTCCCTGAGGACTTAGCGGTCATTTTGACCCGAGGGCAGCTGGATGATGTGCACAAAACTTCCGTAGAGAGGTTGTGGTGGTTTAACTTCATAGTGGCAGCATACTGGAGTTCTGCATGGAGCATGGCGGCAGTTTTTCAATTATATGGGGTTTCATGTATGAAAGAATGCACATCTTTCATACTGAGAGTTGGCACTGTGCACCAAAATTTTCAGATTTATTTAAGTGTCCATGCATGTTGCTGCTCACCTTTCCTTCAAACATCCAGACAAATATGGAAATCAGTGCAGACGAGACACCTACCCTGACATGACTCCATTTAAATATGCAAATACAGTAGTCCCTCGCTACTTCGTGGTTCGACTTTTGCGGACTCACTGTTTCGCGGGTTTTCAATATAGAATTGTACACAACACACAATTAGCTGGTTGATGGAATGTGACCAACCAGAGCATTGTGCTCTGTATCCCGGGCGCTGACTGGCTCAAATTTTTTGCAGTACTGTACAGTACATATATGTATGTTGTTAAAATTACGTAGGTTTAACATTAAGAACATTGCAAGAGTGTGGGAAGGGTTTATAAAGCCTTAAAATAAATATATAAATACTAAAATAAATATAATGTCCATACTTTGTGCATTTTCACCTATCGCAGGGGTGTCTGGAACGTAACGTTCGCAATAAGTGAGGGAACACTGTAGATGCAAATATGTCCCGCATGTGTAATTTTCATATATGCACAAATGCAAGGCTTGGATGCAGGAAAATGAGGAATCTAATCAAATGTGAGTCAGAGACGCCCCTAAAGATGTTAATGAGGTGTAAAAACACGTTTCTCACTTTTGAGCAAAGATGAGTAATTGCGTGTGCGAAACTGCAGTTGTCACTGAATTAAGTGAACCAGAAGTACAGCTCTAAGACTGAGGTATTTGCAATATCATCATTATAATTACAGTAAAGACAGGGTCATTCAGAGTCTTGGTAGACCTTAGAGGTTTATTTGTTCTAATATTTGATGCCCAAGCATTAGTAGCTGCATATCAATGGAGTGTTTCAGTCATAGTGTACGGACATTTGTTATATCAGGCTTCATACTGACGGCATGGCGCGACTCAGGGACGACTGTAAAACACTAAATTGGTATTTGGTTGGCATGATCCGCAAAAACCTGCTGCCTCTCAATTATTCTAATGGCGATGTCCTCAAGTAGTGCCAAAGCTTAATTCTATCCAAAAAAAAAGTATTCTGTAAAGTATAAGCAGGCTGCGCTATCACAACAGCAGCTACATGCACTCCGCCCATCTTTCGGACGACTGTACGGACATATTCTCGTTGTATCTCGGTGCAATGATAATAAAGCTTATTCTGATTCTGAGCTTTCATTGTTCATTAATTATGGTTTATGCAGCTAGTTATGGATATATGGTCTGTGCCTGATGTCTATGTTTTGATCTGAGGAATCATCCCACGTTAGTTGTTCTGAATTAATTTGCTGATTATATCATGTTCTTCTCAGTAAGACAGTTCACGCGGATCACCTCTCCTGGACATGGAAACTATAGGGAAAGACAACAAAGTCCATGTTCAATAATTCAGGTATAAAATCCAACATTTTTCAGTCAGGTCATCTGGACAGTTTCTTTTTTTTTCGTACTGAAACGTTTTGCCTTCGGTCCGGAAGGCTTCATCAGTCAAGGAAACACACAACAAAACTGATTCTTCCCCCAACAGCTTACTCCAAAGTGGAACAAACCAGTTCTGCTTGTGATAAGATGGTCTGGTTTTTCAAACTACAAGACTGTCAACAAGGAAGAGGGCCGGCAACGGAGGAGGGGCGTACCAAAGAGACCATCTTATCACAAGTAGAACAGGTTTGTTCCACTTTGTAGTAAGCTGTTGGGGGAAGAATCAGTTTTGTGTTGTGAGTTTCCTTGACTGGTGAAGCCTTCCAGACCGAAGGCGAAACGTTTCAGCACAAAAAAAAGAAACTGTCCAGATGACCTGACTGAAAAATGTTGGATATAGGGAAAGACCTACAGTAATTGGTAAATACTAAGAATATAATAGCATTGAGCTTGCCTTCACATTGAAGGAGGCTAATTTTCTAAATTAGCCAAAGTCCCTTAATGCTCCAATTAGTTAGTAAGTTGATCAGATCAGAGAGGGGTCATCATTCTGTGCGGAGTGGTCTAACAGAAGAGTGACGGGGTTTCAAGTTCAGCCTTTTGACCATATAAAATATCAAATAGTCAACCTACGAGGAGAATTCTCGCTCTTGAAGTAGCCGACTAGTCTGATGACATCATCCAAGTTATAAAACCCCTTCAGCTCGCGTTCGTTGTCGATAATCTCCACGGGGTCTTCTATCACCTAACAAAAGACACACGTGGAGACTTACAAAGAACAAAAGCTCATAATATTTTCATTAATGACTGTAAGTTACTTACGTCGTAGAGGAACTCAACAATGGTGTCTGCAGCCAGCTCTCCGTCATATTCTATAATCTCATTGTCTGCAAATATGTAGATACTCTCCACTTCATCCAGACCTGGGAATATAATAAATGGGAATAAAAACAGTGTTTTCTGTGTAAAATTATATCTTCCATAAAAATCTGTCATCCACAAGCCAGTAATAGCTCTAATTCATGTATTTGTATTTCTTTGTTAACAACTGACAGGTCATGTACACCCTGAAGAGGTCATAAGTCTATTACTGTATATAGAGCAGTTATTGCTAAAATATATAGATTTTCATTAGGTGTCAGTTATAATCATCAACTTTAAAAGAAATAAACATTTGAAATATATCAGTCTGTCTGTAATGAATGAATATAATATACAAGTTTCACTTTTTGAATGGAATTACTGAAATAAATCAACTTTTTCTTGATGTTCTAATTTTATGACCAGCACCTGTATATATATTATTTATTATTGGTATGTGGGGTATTGGTATATTTTACGAATGAAATGAAAAGCTACAGTACCAGTCATGTCAAAGCTGTGCAGCATTCAAATCAAATACCCTATACCACTTTTACTGGCATGACAGTGTCTCAACATGCAACTTTATGTTTAAATTAGTTAAAAATCAATATCAAGTCTACTGGTAACAGCTGGTACTATGAGAGAGCTGTGGTGTTGCTGAACACTTGAGGGCAGTGTTGATTTATATTCTGCATCAACCAGGAAAAACTGAAGTGAGTGAAACAAAATAAACATTTAAGCTTTACACATTACATTTAAAAAAAAAAAACATCTAATCAGGCCTTACATTATTGTAATAAACAAAACAGGTTTTTGTCAAATACCTGGTGTCTTCAGTCAGTTAGTATTAGGCTGAATTTAAAGTGAATAAAAGTATATGGAATTCATAACAATAATCTATCCCCCACGTTGACTAAACAAAGTTTGAAAAAGAAAAAAGAAATCTTACTGGTTTTGTATGTAGATTATTTATGCTCCACTACAGTGTTTAGTTTTTACCAGTAATGTGTGTCGGTCTTACCTAGTTTCTTGGCAACAGCGGAGGCCTTCTTCTCATCCACCAGTCCGAATCCGATGTCCTCATCGTCAAGTTCGTCCAAAACTTGGGCTGCAAGCTGCACGGAGAGATGAAAACACAAGAAGGTGTAGATGAACGAAAGGCGGACAACAAGAAAGCGCTACCCAATACCTTTTCCAAATCTCACACAGATCGAGTTTTATTTGCATGTGTGCAAGCCTTGGCATATCCTCTCCATTTCAGTGCCTTAAAGGCAGTAACTTTGAATCGCTGAGGTGGATTTTCTAAATATGAGTGAAATCATAACATCAAGCTTCGCAGCGGACATGGGAAGAGGACAGACATCAGAGCGTACAGCAGAACAAGAGCCGCAGAACTCCAGCCAGGTATGTGAAAAGCAATAGATGCTGCAACAGGTGTTCGCAAAGAGAAAAGTCAAACGTCGCCTAAGTCAATAAATACAATTGAAACTAGTTGTTTACACAAATTGTATAAACAGACACAAAACCATTTCTTCCTTAATATCTGACAACTTTAAATCAGACTAAACCTTTCCTGTTTAAGTCAGTTAGGATTCCTAAAATTATTTCTGTTTCCTAAAGGCACAATCAATGAGAGAAAATCTTTATGAGAAGATTTTATTATTTTCTCCAAAATCACAGATTTACATACACTAAAATTACTTTGCCTTAAACAATTTAGAAAAGTTTAGATGATGTCATGTCTTTGAAAACTTGATAATAAATAAAGTGCTATGTGTTACCATCATTGTATGTTCCCATGCACAGGTGAAATTGGCTCTCTGCATTTTAACCATTGCACCTGGGATGCACCCAGGTGGGACAGTGGGCAGCTATGTGGGCTGCCTGGGGAGCAACTCGGGATTGGGTGTCCTGCTCAGAGACACCACGAGATGTGCAATGACTGGGGATTGAACCCAGGTCAGCTGCCCTGCCCCTACACCATCTCAGCCTCTCTTGATTAGCTGACAACAAGTGAGTTAATTAGAAGCATTCTTTAGGGCACACCTCAACCACACTGCTTCTTTGTGTAACATCAAAAGAAGATAAAAAGAAATCAGCCAAGATATGAGGAAGGGATTTGTCTACCTCCACATCTCTGGTTCTTCCTTGGTTATTATTTCCAGATGCCTGAAAAAGCCTTTTTTCTTTGATCAAATAATTGTACACATGGGAATGTCCTATCATACTGCTCAGGAAGGAGATGGCTTTTGTGTTCCTGAGGTGAACATGTTTTGGTGCATAATGCGCCTATCAATTCCAAAATAAAAGCAAAAGACTGTGAAGATGCTGCTGAAGCTTTTCAGTGTCATTATCCACAGTAAAAGGAGTCCTGTATGAATATGGACTGAAAGTCCACTCAGTGAATAAGAAGTTGTTACTTTGAAAGCAATGTAATCACCATTGTTATGTTTGGAGGATCAGGGGCGTGCAAGCCTAAGAGCTTCAGAAAACCCTGATTTCAATCCGTGCGTGCGCAGAGCTGAAAATGTGTGTGTGAGCAAGGCAGCCTACAAGCCTGAATACAGTTTTGTCAGCAGGATTGAGAAAAAAATCCAGCAAACTATTGTGAGAATCTTAGGATACCTAAAATATTTGACCCTCAGTCATACAGTCTAAAGGCAATACTATTAAGTACTAAGAAAAAAATACAAAAACTTGCTTCTTTAAAGAAAGTAAAATAAAACATTCTCTAAAAAAATTCTCTAACTTTGACATTTAACATAAAGTATTTTTGGAATTCCTAACCACCCTAAGTAGGAAAGGATTAATCTGGTTTATTGTCATATAGTAAGATAACAAACCTATTTTATACAGGTTTCTTTTTATACAGTGCGTGTGTAAGCATCTGGTATGAACTACCCAAAATTATACATATTCACGAGAATACGGTCTTAAAATCAGTCATTTCATACAGAAATATTAACTATCACACTTGAACAGTGCATTACAGTTATAGACTCATTGCTTGCGCCCCAGCACAGCTTTCGTAATGTATAAAATCATAAATCCCCAAAATTTGCAGTAACACTTTACATGAAGAAAGTATAATGCAATGCAGCAGCTTGCAAAGCAGCATTGCACATTGGATTCACACTGTAAGCCACCAGTTGCCCCCACAGCACAAGCATAAATAGCTACAGACTATTTATAAAGTTTTAGTATGTCATACAATATGTTTCTCTTTGCAGACAGTCTTTGGGTCATCCATTCTTGTAGTCTTTTACACTGATATGATTACTATTGAAGACCTTAAACTGTATTATCACCATGAGACAGCCCATATATGTGACGCCAAAGAAGCACTGTATGTCTCATAGGTGCTCTTTTGATGCTTCAGTTACATATATTTATGAATTTGATTTTTTTCTGTTGGCTACTTGCTTGTATTAGTTTATAAGTACCACTTTCCCTTCTTCTTTTGTTGTTATTTTAAGTAAGAAGCCTTTTTTTATATTTAAGAGAAATCAAAGTTTGTGTGTGTGTGTGTGTGTGGGGGGG